GGGCAGCGACCAGGCCCCTGAGGGGGAGGCGACATCTCGCATCAGGCCCCCGCCCCCACCCGAGATCCCGGGCAGGCGCTTTTAATTAGCACGGCTCTCGGAACTAATTAAAGACACCCCCCCCCCTGCACACACGCACACCCCTTTCTGGAGAACATGTGTGATTGCCCTGTGGAGTTGATAGCTGTGGGTTTATCTCGTGACTTGCAGTTGCACGTGTAGCAGTGGGAAGGCGCCCCGGAAAGGTAGTCAGGGCATCCAGCACCCTGAGTGAGACTCATTGCTTGCGATACAGCTGTCCGCTTCGTTGCGCCCCCCCTAAAGCAGGGATGGGCAGCATCCGGCTTGCGGGATGGATCTGGTCGGCCAGGGACTCTATTTTCCAGCTGCCCCTGCCCTTGGGGCTCCTCATGTCTCCGTGGCACGTCCCCACGGCACATCTCCGTGGCTTGTGCCGGTCTCCACGGCACGTTTCTGTGGCTTGTGCCGGTCCCCGTGGCATGTATCCGTGGCTTGTGCCGGTCCCCCAGCCTCAGCCGTGCCGGCCTTGCATTCAGCAGACACTGCTCCGGAGCTGCCGGGAACGTGGGATGGGGCAGCTTGTTATGGAGCCAGGGCAGAGCCAGGGTCTGTAGGCTGCACGCTCCGGGCAGGGGCACGCATGCAGGGGCTCGTGGCTCTGCCCCAGCTCCTTGCAGCAGTGACAGCCGGTCCGGAGCCGGGGCAGAGCCGCAGTCCTCTACATGCGTGCCCCTGCCCAGAGCATGCAAGCTACAGCTCGTGGCTCCAGAGCAAGCTGCCTCCATACCACATTTCCGGCAGCTCCGGAGCAGCCCCCTGCGCTGCCCTGCCACGCGCGCTGCCGGCTCAGCTGAGGTCTTCATGGAGACTGGCACAAGCCACGTGGGCAGGGGCAGCTGGGAAATGGAGTCGCCGGCGACCCAGAGGTTCCTCATTCCTGCCCTAAAGCATCTACTCCTGCCACTGTCAGAGAGAGGATGTTGGAGTAGGCCGAGTTGGTCTGACCCAGGTGGCACTTCTTATGTGGACTTGGGACAGAGAGTCCCGTGAGAGCATCTCATTCTTTATCCTGCACGGTGCCATGTGACATGCCTGTACTGCAGCAAGTCTCTGTGTATGGGAAGGAAATTCCTTAACTTGAGCCCCTGTCAATTCCCCTGACACAGTGGGAATGGCCAGTCTGCTATTCATGGAGCACCTCATGCCAGCGACTTTCCAGTCACAAGGCAGAAGTCTGTCCGGAGAGCTGACCTGTTGTGAGGGGACAAGCACCGTGGTGAATGTAGATGCAGCAGTAAGATGCAGAAAGCAAGGGTGCAGGTTGCCACCTCTGGTGCTGACGTGGGAGATCAGGGGTTCATTTCTGTCCCCTTTAGCAGAATCCTTTTGTGACCGTGGGCATCCTTTAATTGTGTCAGGTTTCATTGGTAAAAGAGGGCTAGTTTTACCTTTCCCCGACCTGTTGCCTGCTTTGTCTGCTCTTTGAGCCTTAGCGTGGGTCTGTAAGTACACAGCATAGCAGGGCCTCAATCTGTGTTGGGATCTTTGTAACACAAATACTAGTAATAAGATCGGAAAAAAAATAGTTATCATCTGAAGGGGCACAGGCAAAAATCACTCTTCTGTTTCAGAAGCAGTCTTGTTGCAAGAACTAAGCTGAGTAGAACTGAATGAGAGTTGGGAGAATAATTTTTCTGGTTATTTACTTCTGTGGGTTTGTCAGCTTTTTGAGCAATGCCGGTTTCACTATTTCCTACGGTTTGTGATCGTCCGCAGCGCAACAAGAGACTAGGCATTCCTTCCTTAGAAAAAAGGAAAATGATACTTACTTGACAGAAGGACTGGGCAGGGAAAGTATGGTCCTGAAACTGCTTTGAATAGGTTCTTTTGAAATAAATATATTCCAAATGGACCATCATTCTGTGATTTGGATCTCAAACTGATTGTTTTTTGCACTTACTGACAGTAACGCCTGGCACATTATTGCTGATTGTGTATCCTTCTAGTGCGTAAGGGAGCAGTTCGGATTAAAGAGGATTTAGAGATAATTCCAGAAAATCCTGCAATATCATTTGTGACCAGTGAAAAGTTTTGAGTAATTGGAAAACATTTGGTGACATTTTCATTCAAACTGCGGAGAGAATTCCTACCAGTGGGGAAATGGTACCGAGGTTTGGGAAGAGCAGTAGGTTGTCTTGCATGTAAGTGTCCATACCATATTTTTTCCATTCTCTTTCAGAAACTCTCTCTTACACAGATGATACAGCTATGTCTAGGTCTGTGGTACAGTCCCTGCTAGCCAAGCAAGAATTTGATGAAGTTGATATGGCCAGGAGGTAAGGAACACAATAGACCGTCCTTGTGGTCATTCGCATATGATAGCAAATGAAGCTTTCTGAAATGAATCGGCCACCTCTAGCTGTGCGTTTGAAGCCTGTGACAGGAGAGAGGACTGCAGGCTGGTATAACTTTGTATTGGTGTGGAAAGAGCAAAAAGAACAAAACTTCTTCTGCAGAGAGACCTCAGTGCCTCTTGCAGTTATATTTACTTCAGTGGTAGCATCTAAAATTCACTGATGACTTGGAATAGGGAGGGATGCTATCATTTTAAAATACCTGTGCTGTAAGCATGCAGAATTATTTGTAGTTTGATTACACTTTGGAATTTCAAAACTATTCCCCTTCCAATTTACTTATCACGCTTAATGCTCAATGTACTTTTTGATGTTTCCCTGAGCGGGGGCAGTGATTAACAATTAAATCCATTTCAGTTTTGTTTATAGTCTGTTCTGCTTTCAAATCCTGGCTGCAAAGCATTTGAGTTTCAAGCATTGAATGGAGAAGTTTGTTTAAAAATCATGTTCATTGGATGCAAACAAAAGTATTTTTGCCCTAGGTTTGACTTTCTGAAATGTTTCCAGCTATTTATAATGAGTATTTTAAAATCATCAAAGTCAAGAGTTTAAACCAGTGATTTATGCGAATGCAATGTCTGTATTACCACAGGAAAATACAAGCCTTTTACCCATCGCCTGAGGCTCTGGCAGCGAGCACAATAAGGCCTTGCTCTCCTGACTGGGCGCGTCTACCCAAGATGTTTACTACACATTAGCATGTCACAGCAAAAACCGTGCTAATAGCCTACTGTGCAGTGTTATTTGGCTAATGCGCAGTAAGTGTCACTAAAAAAACAGCGTGCCGGTGCTTCTGTTCAATAACTGTAGTTACTGCGCATTCAGTTAGTACTTCATTAAGGAAGTATTAAACTAAAGGCGCAGTATCTAAGGCGCATTCATGAATGTGTAGATGCGCCCGCTGAGGTCTCTGTATGTTGCTTTGGTATAAATAGTAGAGCTTTATAAAGTTTTCCCCAAACTTAAGGAACAGATCCAAGTGTGAGTTGACACTGCCTGTCTGGTGCGTTTTTTTCTTGATGCTATGTAATTGCTGTTCTTTTGCCTCGGCAGGTTTGCTGAGGAATATAAGAAGGAACCAAACCGGGGCTATGGAATGGGGGTTGTCACTGTATTTAAAAAGCTCCTGAGCCCCAAGTGCAGCGATGTGTTTGAGCCAGCAAGAGCACAGTTCAATGGGAAAGGCTCCTATGGGAATGGTGGTGCCATGAGGGTTGCGGGCATTTCGCTCGTTTATTCTGACATTCAGGATGTGAAAAAGGTGCGTTCCTGGAGTTGGTTTGGGCACCTGAGCTCCTTGCTGACGGGGTGGTGAGGGTTGGCAATTGTCCTTCATGCATGTGTCCTGATGGCATTTTTAAATCCATAGTTTGCGAAGCTCAGTGCTGAGCTGACCCACTCTAATTCGCTGGGCTATAACGGAGCCATCCTGCAGGCTCTGGCAGTGCACCTCGCCCTACAGGGAGAGCTCAGCAGGGAGAGCTTCCTGGAGCAGCTGATTGGCCACATGGAGGATGTGGAAGCGGATGATAAGTCTCTGGCTGATGCACGAGCGTAAGTAGCTGTCTGATTCCTTGCCTCTCTTCAAGAGCAATCTGTGGCAATCACTTTATGCCTCTCAGCCAGCTGTCATGAGCACGTAGCCCAGTCTCTCGGGGGTGGATGCCTTTGGAATAAGGAATGGGAAATCCTTCTGGCTTCAGGTTTCCTCTGCTTCTTCCCTCAAGCCAAGTTAATCCATTCCTGGAGTAGAAGTGTGTCTGTGTGCCTGCGATGCATAGAAGCTGTCAGCTGGCAGGCCTATTTGCAGTGGACATGGGCCCACCAAGAAAGCTATAAGCCCCCCAGAGCTAGGGAGGCAACTAGATGCATAACAAGAGTTTCTGGGTGACAACAAATGAGAAAGCAGGGACAGGAGTATATGTGTCAGAGGTTAATAACGAGTGCTCCAAGGGAGTACGCCAATGTTACTGCCTCTCAAATAAGTCCAATGAGCCAGTGACAGTGCCTGGAGATGTGTATGGAGGAGTGATAGGAAGACAGCCCACAGTCACCCGGTTTCCCCCTTGCTGCTGTCACTTAGCCAAGAGACTGTGCTGTAAGCTGCCTGCTTCTGGGTCTAGCTTCTCATGTCTGTTCAGTGGGCCATTTCAGTCTCTGCAGTTATTCATCTCTCGTATCTGACCTCCCCTGGGGAGTTGTTTTGTTGCAAACAGATTTATCTGGTCCTTCTCTGTCCTGATAGTGAGCTCTCTTCTACACACTTAGCTTCATTGCTGTTAGAACAACTTTGCTTTGAGGTTTTTTTCTCTGTTGTCTCTGCTGAGCTGGAAGTCTCGTCAGTTATATCTCTGGTTCTGATACCTGAAGGAAATCCACTTTTACAGCTGAATGTATCTAGCTGCCGAATATTCTTCTTTCTGCTTCTCTTGGGCATGTCTGTTTGCTTGAATAACTCTTCCTGGATTGGATTTTATCAGATTAAATCATATGTTTAATGCCTTCATGACAAGATGAGAAAAGTCCACTGGAGCTTTTGTTTCATTCCACTCTTTTATCCCCAGGTTGGGCTTTGAGGATTTACCCTTTTCAAGGCGCCTGAAGAAGATAAAGGAATTTTTGGAGCTCAGCACAGTTCCAAAGTCAGATGTATTGTTTGAATTAGGTAAGCGCCTTTTTTAGTACAGGTATCCAGTAAAAACCATGGGGCAGTAGTCCAAGGAGTCTCTGGGGTTAATGCTTTCTCTCCGGGGTCCAGCCTTTCCTGTCTAGACTGGCAGGGGCTGGATGTAGTGCAAAGACTGCCTGCTCAGCCTCATAGAACAAGTGTCTGAACCACTTCACAGCAACTCCCTTCCATAAACTTAGAGTAGCCATGGCTTAGAGAGATGCTTGGATAGTTACTAGGGTTCCAAGATCACTTATCTTAATGACAACCCATCGTTTTGGACACAAGTGAGCGGATGCCGGAGTACCCAGAGACATTGCAGATCAGGGCTACATTGGCATTGTTGGAAACGCATCCTTGTGGCTGGGGGCAGCAGGTCAGGAATGAAAGCAGAAAGGTTGGGCAGGAAGGAAGCGGAGATCTTCCACAGTTTTCTTTCCCTTTAATTCACAAACTTCTTTTATTAACAGGCAATGGGGTTGCTGCTCTGCGGTCTGTCCCCACTGCGATTTACTCCTTCCTGCGCTCCATGGGATCTGACCCAGATATCCCTGATCACTACAACAATCTGCAGAGGGCCATTATCTACTGTATCTCGCTGGGTGGAGACACAGACACTATAGCTACTATGGCTGGAGCCATTGCAGGGGCTTACTATGGGGAGGAGCAGGTACCCGCAAGCTGGGAGCAGAGCTGTGAAGCTTTTCAAGAGACAGAGAAGGTGGCAAATAGCTTATATGAGCTCTACTGCCAACAACTCTGAGCCAACACTATGACATCTTGTGCCAAAGGTACAGTCAGCAACCTCGCTGGTCAGATCTACATCATCATCAACCACCAGTCGGCCCTCCACTCTCAGAATGACCCTTTTGGTCAGGTGCTACATGGTGAAAATGAGAGCGGGGTGTTAGAGACAGGACTTATTTCTCTGTTTCAGTTTGTCTGGCGAGTGTGCACGGGGGATAATTTAAATGGTGATATTTATTTCTCCACCAAAACTCACCAGCATTGCTTGGTTTCTGGTGAGATTTCTGCTCTTCACTCTGTCTTGTCCTTCTGCCCTTGTCTCTTTCTATTTAAACCCTTGTTAAGATTCCAAGGGGGAGGGGTGCAGAATACAGAAACTTTCTGGTTTCCTGCCATTGGCTTCTAAATGCTGTGGCCTTTCCTTGAAACATTCACAGTCTAATTCATAGCAGCACTTGGGTTGCCCTGTAGCCCTCTTACACTTGTATTTCACTCGCAGAGGTTGAACAGCTGAATGGGCAGTGTTGGTGCATGGGAGCCCAACAGAAAGATGAATTACTGGAAAAGCCTGGAATATCACTCAGAAAAGTCCCAGCATTTGGGAAGCGGTACACTGGATTGCAAAGCCTCCTTAGAGTGAGCTCTGCTGTAGACACAGAATGAGAACCGAGTGGGATTAGAGAGGTTGCCTCATCCATCTCGCGGCATTGTAAGCAGTATCATTGGCCAGTATGGGTAGGATTCCATATTACTTGTTCCAGTAGGAGTAAGTCATGGTTTTTGCCATTGTTTTCTCTCCTTTGCTGTCTGAATTACTTACTCTTGATTCGGGCCCTGACGCTCATGTTGCTGGAGCTACACTTTTTGCTACCACTGCATAATTAACACCCATTCTGTACATAATCCAGTGCATCTACCAAGGATGCTAGTACACCTGTGGGATGAGATAATGTAGTTAAAACCTAGTGGTACATAGGGGTCAGATCTTGCTCCCCTCAAGGGAATGGTAAAGATCTGAATTTGGTGGGAATAGGTTTTAACTCTGCTTTAACAGTGTGGAATCAATTATTTAAAAAGAGATGGAAGGGCAGTTTCAGTGGGGAGTGTACCTCTGTTAAGAAATGTGCACTCAGAGGCCATAACGAAAATAAAGCAGCATGGTTCTTCAGTTGGAAGCGTACGCACTTCATCTAGCAGAATTGGAGCAAGAGGAGATGATCTGAGTTTGTAAACAGGCAGAATCATGTCGAAATGGTTTGTGAAATGTCTGAAGTCGTTAGACCAAACAAAACAGAGAAATAAAAAACAAACATCCTGTTTGCAGGAAGCCGTCATATGGAAACATTTATAAATCTGAATGTTCCAAAGTAATTCTATATATATGTATATTTTTGTATTGAGACTGGGAAGTGAATGCATTGCCAACATGGGGCTCTTGCCCAGCATGATATCAGCCTACAGTTTTTCTGTGTTTCAGATTGATGGTACATGTGAAAAATCTGGTTGTAATATATTTGTTCCTCACCTCTCCTGTACTTTGTTTCTTTGAAGTCTTGAGACTTGTGTATGAAGCGTTGCTGGATTTTCCTTCTGTAAATTGGAATATTTTGTCCTATAAATGTGTGGAATTACGAGCCTGCTGCTAGCACGGATTGTATTGCAAATTTGCAGAAAATTTGAAGTGTCATGATGTACTTACTTTAAGATTCTGTTGTTTTCAATGAAGACATTTTAAAAAGCAAATATTTTTTAAACCTGTCTTGTTTTTCTCTGACCTGAAAGGACACTGTGAAGCTAAGGCAAGCTTTCTGTTTACTGAATCTTGCTTTCTCTAACTCAGGATTGAAGTGCGTACCAAAAAAGTGCCAGGAGCTGATTTTCTTGGAAATAAATAAAATCACTTTGTATCTTTTAAGGAAAACATCAGCACAGTGGCTAATTATTGGCGCAATGGAGTTATGTTCCATAAGTTGGTGTCATAACTGGTGCCTAGCGATATATTGGCTTCAGCCTCTTCAGTTAGCAGTATAGCCACCAAGGCTTCCTGAGCAGAGAGATGTCCTTCCTTATATCATCGACCCTTAGGGGGTCAGACTCGATGATCTATTGAGGTCCCTTCCGACCCTAACATCTATGAATCTATATGTGCTTCTACTAGGGAGTCTTTTGTAGCTAGGTTAAAAAAAATTGTGGCCATTCAAGTGGAGGTGAGCCTGGAACCAAGTTGGGAAAATCTGTATATAGGGTCTCTGAAGTGTAATGGGACTTGAAACCCATTCACCGGGCTATTGCAGGTTTGGGGAAGCAGGGTGTAATGCGCCTTGTGCATCAGTGGTTGGTGCCTGAAATGTTGCAATGAAGAGATAAGCACAGCTGTGTCTCAGCTTGATAGTTTTCTGCATCCCCTTATCCAGGCCTGCCCAACAGGCCTTAGTTTCTTTCTGCATCTTGAACTGTTCCATGAAGGAGTGCAGTACATCTCCTGGTGAAGAGCTGAGGACTTTTGAGTCAGCAGGTACAAGTGTCCAGTACATGTTTTCCCAGAGATTGCAAACACTAATGACTATGGATTCCTAGTAAAGGAAGCAGTCAGGCTAAATAAGTGCTTATGACAGAGTGATTAGCATCATTTGACATAGTTGTCTTACCGCTATAAGATGACCCTTGGATAGCCCACACTTGTTGCGTATCAAACTTCCTCTGTATTTTCCTCCTCTGAGCTGCAGCATAATTGATTTGAAGGCACCCCATGGGCGTGACACCCACAGCTGCTTTGCACGTAAACCTGGGAAGGTGCACTGAAACCCAGCAGGAGCAGAGAGATTTTCCCCTTGCCCAAGCTGCTTTGATGTAACATTGCAGTCAGCTTTGTTACGTGTTCTGGAATAGCGAGCATTTAGCCTTCATCATGTGAAACACAAAGGAATTGGGGCTGATTCAGTTACAGTATGGGGTTTGGGAATGGTCATAGTTGCATTTCCCAGATTGCCTACGGTAAAGGGCCTGGAATCTGTCTTGGCAACATCTCTTTGCTGGCTGAGTTGCAAATCCTGATTTTGGTGTTTAACCCCAGCTGTTCTGGATGGGGAAATTAAGCTGGGTGTAAACCCACCAAAGTTCAGTCGTGTGGCAGTACTTTTCCAGACTGATTTTATTTAACTATAATTGCACTTTAGATGTCACCAGCAGAGAATTATGGTGCATAATTCCATTTATAGCTTTACACTCTATTTGCTGCCATGTATTGGAATTATAGAAGTCTTAGAAAAACCTAACAGCTATTTTCCCTTCTACTGCTCCTCTTTCGGGACAGCCTGCGATTTATTTTATTATAGTTTCTTAAAGTGTTTCTTGCAGGGGTCCTGGACCCAAAGATCTCGTGAGGTCCCTTCCAGCCCCTAACGTCTATGAATCTGAAGAATGAAAGCCCTTCCATGCCAATGGCACATCTTCTAGGCGGCTGGAACTTCTGCTTTATTTGGGGTAAGTTTAACACTTAAAATCTGTTGTAAAAGAAGAGTAGCCATCCAGGCATAGTTTTATGAGCAGGGAATAACAGTTCATAGGTTCATAGATGTAGGGTCGGAAGGGACCTGAGCAGATCATCAAGTCAGGTCTCCTGCCCTGGGCAGGAATGAATACTGGGCTCATATGACCCCTGGTAAGTTTAAGCTCATATGACCCCAACTAGGTAATTATCAAGCCTCCTTTTAAAAACCCCTAAGGTAGGAGCCAGCACCACTTCCTTTGGAAGCTGGTTCCAGATCCTGGCTGCCCTGACTGAAGTAGTGCCTCCTGATGTCTGTTGAGTGTCCTATAAGAGCAGGAGAGAAGACGTTAAAACAGAGGGACTTGATGTGTTAGTCATCTGGTGTGTTGCTGCTGCATGCCCTGTTTGGGAGCTGGAAGTGTGTGTGAAGGGTGTTGCCTTGTAGAAGTTACAGGGGAGCCGTCAGTGAAAAGATTTTAACTCCTGCAATCATTCCAAGCTAATTACAGATGACCAAATAAACCAAAAATTACACCCTGAAGGTGATCTGTCTCTGCTTCATAGGTTTTGAAGGGACCCATCAACTTAGAACATTTACAACTGGAAACGTTGGAACCTCTCCAATTAAGAAAGCAGAGAGAAAGCGATCAGAGGAAGAAATATTTTCTCTCACATTTTCTTCACTTTTGCCTTTGACAGCACTTGGTGTACAGTCAGCTTCACCATTTCCTCTAATCATAGTCATATTCATAGTCATCAATTTTTCCTGCAATTTTGTGAGTGTTATGCTACTTAGACCAGAATACTAGATGGAATTCTCCATGGCTTCTCTCACTGGGAAGAAGGGGAATGGGGAATGTTGCCGTCATACGTTCTGGAATTTGTGCCCTGGTGGGGGTGGGGGGCAGGATACGATTTTCCTAGGTGGAAGTATAGACCATGCCAATTTGAAATCTCTATTGTTACTCAAAACTCCCTTATCTCCCACATTATACGTGCATGTTGCTCTCCCACTGGGAAACCCCTTGTGAGTGGTAGATTGCTTGCTGGCATTAGGCTTGCTTTTATCAATCTTAAAATTTGGCATATTAAAAAAAGATGGAGAGGGGAGAGGAAAACCCAGGCTTCAACTCCTTCTGTCTTAAGTTCCTCAAAACAAATAGTGCCCTGAAATCAGAAGAAATCGTTGCAGTGTGTTTCCTTTTGTAGTGCTATGGAGTAAGCTTGTCATATAAGAAATGCTAATCCTTAGACCGAGGCAGGCAAAATGCAGCCCACTGGCCAGATGCGGTCCACCAGGCTATTCTGTCTGGCCCGTGGGGCCCCTAGAAAATTTATAAAATTAATATTTATCTGCCCCTGGCTGCCTGTCATGTGGCCCTTGATGGCTTGCCAAAACTCAGTAAGCGGCCCTCCGCACAAAATAATTGCCCTCCCCTGCCTTAGACCAACATGGCTACAATGAAAAACCCAGCTAATGAAAGTTATTACTCTCAGAGCTGGCCATGCTGATACAGATATTTAATTCTGGTTCTTAGGGGACAGTTGCTTACCTTGCCAAAATCAAACCCGTCGTTGCCACTGACTTTCCCCACTTGCTGAAAGTTTCAGCAGAGAAGCCATGCACTGGATGGACCATTGAGAGTGGGCTATGCTCTTTGTCCCCCTGGTGGGATACTCTAGGGGAACATTCAGGGCCAACAATCCGGGCATGTTTCTGATCTGCAGACTGCTCGGAGTACCCGCAGTCTAGAGGAGACCCACGGAGTCATGATCATCTCTTATTTGGCAGGTTTATACAAAGATAACTCACAAGTGCTGCTTTTAATAACCTCTGAATAAGGCACTGGAATGTGATACAGGAAAGGCAGGTTCCAATCCAGCTCTGATATGGACCTTCTGGGCTGGTCCTGGGCTCTGTTTCTGCCTCCAGTCCCTGTAAGTGTAATGGGAATACTTGAGAACATATTGGGTCAGCCCACAGGTCCATCCAGCCTGGTCTCCTGTCTCTTGCAGTGGCAGACAGGTGCTAAGGGGGTGAGTATTTAAGCAGGGCATATCCAGAATGATCCATCCTCTGCCCGTCTCCCCTTCAAAGCTTCCATCATTCAAAGGCTTCTTTCTCCCACCTCTCCCACCAACTCTCTGGGGCTCTGATCTCAGGTGAGGTCTCAAGCTGATGCTGTAATCCAAACAAGCAACAGGACAAAGATCCAGGTAGGGCCATCTTTTATACAATAAGTTTTATTGATGTTGTGTCAATACAATCAAGTACTGTAGTTTTAGTTCTGAAGAAGGCCAGTTTCCACTCACAAACGAAAAGAGTGCATTTTAAACCAATTTTACTGACAGACAGTGCATGTAATAAGTATTTACAAAACTAAAATCCTCTATATACTAGGTTAGAAATGAAGATACTAGAGGCAAACTTAAAAAAAATAGTAAGAATTTGTATATAAAAATGCACATTGTAATGCAGTTTTCATAGTTAAAAATAGACATACTTCATCCAACCCAACCGTATTTTTATTTTTTGGCGATTGAAACCAAAATCTCATGCGCTCACACACACGACAGAAAATAAATCCTTCTGCTGGCAATTATCATCATGTACTAAATACTTCCGAAAAAGAATACCTTCCTGACAATATCTGGCTTCTGGAACACCCCCTTCATTCTGTGCATCGTTTTTCTAGCCTAACTCTATGTGCGTGTATATCTTTGCCTTTCAATTACTGTGTAAATGTAACAGGTTATATAGCTGCAGAAGGTTGATTATGGTTTATGCTCTGCACATGAAGGGAAAGTGAAATTGCAACACGGTAGTCTACAGTATTGACGGAGTTAATGTTTCAGAGTTGGGTTATTATAAATGTGCATTTTTGTCATTACTTTTGCCAGCCAGAACCAGAAGACTGAATCAAAACAAAACAAAACGAAACAAAAAAGGATTGAACATAGGTTAGAACACAGTATAAATAAATTGCTTTGTTGAGTAACAGGCATAAACTTCCACCCTTGAGAGTAAGCTTGAGTACATGGAAGCTCCCTTACCCTAACCGCAGGTAGCGTTACGTGTGTTACCATCTCTGCCTCTGGCAGCGTGACTCGGTGAAAGCAGCGAAACACCACTGCTCTGAAACGAAAGGGGTCTGATGCCTTATAAACTTGAGTTCACTGCTGTTCTCCACAGGAAAATATACTTAAATAAAGGAGAGATGAGCCCCATTCCAGCATCCTCTTCCCAAGCGTGGATGTGAAGAAAACATCTGAGCTCCATTTCTTTTAAGTTTACTTGTTTCCTTGTTTTTTATGGCTCCTTTTCCTGACGGGAAATCAAAGAACTACGATCTGGTCCATGAAGGGCTCTGACCTTCCCCTGCCTTTAGGAATCAGAACCTCCTGATGGATTTACCAGGTCTGTGTTTGTCTGTTTACAAAGCTCCTTTGCTTCACAATCTGCAGCTGTAAATCTGAATAAAAACTGAAACCAAAGTGAGGGAGACCCAATTTCCAGCAGTGTAGCAGCTGGAATATTTAACTATAGAATTCTGTTGTTTTTTTTTCTTTTCCTCTATAGCTTTCTTATTTTTGTTTCTTATTTTCACAGATGGGGAAGTTTATTTAAAAAAAACAACAAACCTGAAGCCCTGGATGGCAAGAGACACAAATGTGGGTAAGTTAAAAAAAAGATAGAAAATCTATGTTTAAATATCTTTACAACAAATCTGGAGAACAATAGCAAGTCATGTTCTTACTGTTTTTCCTTACAATGGGCATCATGGACATTTGAGAATCTTGGTTGCTGAGCTGCTGATTGATTGAGCTTCAGCTCTTAGTCACAGGTCTTTGCAGAAAGGGATTTAATATATTATGCGTGGCTTAACTTTGGTGACATTGTGTCTGCCTGGGTTTGGAAGAATCACTTTAGAAATGCCTAATTGCATGGGCTCATTTCTAGTGTATCTTCAGGCAAGCCACAGAGCAAGAGGGCTCAATTGTTCCCCTAAACGAAGGGCAGAGTCGCCAAGTGGTCAGTACCTGTGCACACCATTTCCAAAGCCTTATATCCCATATTCAGACTGGTGACATTTCAAGCATTATCGAGACAAAGCGGTAACAACAGGACAAACAGGAAATTATTCCCCCCCCCCCCGCACTAAATCACAGAAGTTGGCATGCAGAATGCTGCACCTTTAAAGATACATATTGCACTATACTTGTAAATAACATCATAAGTAGGTAATAGCACCATTGTAAAATGATTGAATGGAAAGACAGAGTGAACACTCTTTTTTTAATTAAAAGGTCCTCAGAGAAGAGAAAAAAATACCAACATGAACATTTGTTTCCTGAAACAGAGACATTAAGAACAAGTTGTCCATAAATGGCACATTCAAGAAAGCATCGTGAAGCTTTCCATTAACTCAGACTAGAAGCATTGTAAGCCATGCTTGCAGTGCCATCTTTGGATTGTCAGATAATAATGTGTTCACAACACCAAGCAAGTCTTTGGGCTAAAAAGAAATATACAGGATAGAACCAGCCCTTTGACCTGCCCATGATAAATTAACACAAGATGGAGGAACATTAGATCATCACAGGGGTCCTAAATTCCCTGAATGGGTGTGGAATTGTTTGTCCTTTTTCCAGACACCATTGACATGGTGGTATTATTCCTAAAGACAGGGTTTTTTTTAAATAATAATTATTTACTTATTATATAAAGGTGCTTATGCAATGTGTTACACATTTGATGACTAAAAATCAACCCGCGCTGACTCCTGATTAAATCAGAGAGACTGCCTCAAAGCACAATCTTAAAAATAAAAAAGAAAAGTATGAATAAGACTGAAACTTGGGCCAGTGGTGCATTAGGAGGAAGATATTTCAATCCATCGTGGCACTGCTTCTACATAGATTTGGGTTGAGTGCATAGGACCTTTTTGCTGGCTAAAGTGTACACTAACAATTAAAATCGCTGTCTTTATTTAACTCAAAATGGGAAAAGGTTATAAACCAAAAAAAAAGGCTCTAGTTCCTTCAGTTTACCTACTCTGGATTACAGAACAATCGCGTTGCATGCCTAGGTCCTTGCCATCCCATGCTAGTTTGATGTGCAGTCGCTAGGGTAAAGTTTATTCCACTTTGCCATTACCCTCCCCCAAAAAACAGAAAAAAAGCAAGAAAACATCTTTCTGATTATCCTCTTGACTCATTGATCAAACAGCGTGAAGCAAGGTCCCGTGCCAACGATGGGCACGTTCTTCCCAGTGATTTTTCTTTTTTGCATTAATTTTATTTTATTTTGTTTTTCTTTTTTTTTAATAAAAAAATTAAGACAGTTTATGGCTAAAGTGGGTATAAAAGAAATGCACCCAATAGCCGTTATGTGGGGCAAAGCAGGAACCCAGAGAAGGAGGAGTGGATGTATTCTGTGGAGTACAACCCGTTGGCTTGGTCCGAAGGCATTTGCACCCAGACTTGGTCGTTCTCTTTGAGTTCAAGCACAGCGCTGCCCGAGGCTTGGTCCAGGTAGCCTTTTTTGTACTCATCGTAGGTGTATGTGGCAGGTACGTTGTTCTTGTACAGCGCCACCCAGACGTTAGTCCCTTTGACATGCACGTGGTAGGCAAAGTAATAGATGCCAGAGATGGGACAGGTAAATATCCCAGTAGCTGCATTGTAGCCGTTGTGCCCGTTATACAAAGTCCTGTCAAATTTGACCGGCATGCCGGATGCCGGGAATGGCGAGGTCAGGATGGCCGTGAATGCTGGTGCTATTCGGGCAGAGAGCTCTCCTCGGCCATACTGCGGCTTCCCTGGCTTGCCGTTCCCCAGCACAGCCCCTTCCACGCCACCGTCTGGCAAATGGAGCCCAGCAATGCCTGTCTCGTCAAACACCCCTGGTGCCCCGGGGGGGCCAGGGGGCCCGGGAGGCCCAGGAGGCCCATGTAATCCGGGGTTCCCTGGCATTCCAGGTGGGCCAACGGGCCCTGCGATACCCGGCCCACCCACTTTCCCCTCTCCCGGAGGGCCTGGGTGACCTGGTTCCCCTTTCAGCCCTGGTAAACCCTGAGGCCCCATCGGCCCCGCAGGGCCCTGTAGACCTGGAATACCAGATGGGCCCCTCAGGCCCGGCTGCCCTGGAATCCCACCCTCCCCCTTAGGGCCAGGCCCCCCTGTTAACCCAGGTACCCCAGGGAGCCCTATGAACCCTGGTTCCCCTTTTGGGCCCATTGGGCCCGGTGGCCCATGTGAACCCGGCAAGCCTCTCTCTCCTGGTATCCCTGGTTTCCCTGCAAAACCATTTGGCCCTTGGTCTCCACGTATCCCTGGCATGCCTGGGGCCCCCGGGGGCCCGGCGTCACCTTTAGGGCCCATGAGCCCATGTTTACCTGGCAAGCCCATGGACCCCGGGGGCCCTGGGGGTCCTATGATGCCTGGTGGCCCCTGGTCTCCTGGCTCCCCATCTATGCCTGGCTCCCCTTTGTCACCAATCACACCTGGGACCCCCGGCTGCCCGCGGTCTCCTTTTAAGCCGGGCAGCCCCGGTTTCCCGTAGCCTGTAGCCCCTGGTAAACCAGGGAGGCCACGGATGCCGGGTTCTCCCTTTGGCCCCAAGGGGCCTTGCAGCCCTGGTATGCCAGCAACCCCTGGGATGCCTATTCCGTCCACACCTGGCAGGCCCCGTGGCCCAATTAGCCCCGGTTCCCCATTGATCCCAGGTGGACCATGTGGGCCCATGTCACCCTTTTCCCCAGGAGCACCTGGCAAGCCATCAAGTCCTGGTTTTCCATTGCCCACAGACCCTGGTGGGCCAGCAGGACCAGGTGGCCCGCCGTTCCCCCTGGGCCCTGGCAACCCTGGCTTCCCAACTCCATTTTCACCTTTCATGCCACGCTCCCCACGAAGGCCCGGCTCCCCTTTCGGTCCCGGTTCACCCCTAAAGCCAGGTTGCCCTGGAGCCCCTTGTAGGCCTGGTTTACCATTGACTGAGATGCCTGCTGGTCCAGGCAGACCCGGTGGCCCTGGCAGCCCCCGTGGCCCTTGCTCTCCCCGCATGCCAGGTTCACCTTTCAAGCCAGGCATCCCTTTCATACCCGCCTTTCCTGGGAGCCCTGGGATGCCTGGTTTCCCAATACCAGAAAACCCAGGGGGCCCTGCAGGGCCTGGCTGGCCGTGCATTCCTGGTTTCCCGGTGCCTGGTTTTCCTGGGTATCCTGGTGGTCCTGGAGGGCCTCGTGGGCCTGGCTTCCCTGGTGGTCCGGGCTCCCCTTTGAGATCCATGGGCAGGGCTGGCAGCATGTCTGTTGAGAGAACGAGACAGCAAGTCCACACTGGGAAAAGCAGAACTACCGAGTCGCTGGAGGAGTGGGAACTGTAGCAAGTGCTTGGAGCTGGGGGGAGCGGTCTCTGTCAGGGCACCTGGGTTTTATTCTTGGCTTTCCTAAGATCTCGCCACACAATCTCAGTTAAACAAGGGGCACTGCTATGGACCCTCATGCTCTCTCTGAAGTTGGGCATTCAAATTTATGAAAAGCTTTGAGGTTCTCAGACCAAAGATGCTCTAAAAACCCTGGACTTATTGTCTAGCAATTAGTTACACTCTCGTGGTCTGGTGATCCATGTTCTCCTTGTAATAAAGCAAAGCAGAAATGAAAGCTGTCTTGCACCTTGCTCCCACTCAGGTTTTAGCACTTCTACCCTTAAAGGCCAGTCCCAAAAACTAAAGCGTGATGCCGGTTGCTTGACATGGCTATGAAAGTTATCACTAAAAAGAAACGAGCAGAAAGAATGGGAAGTCCTTGCAGTCCTAGAACTATGATATGACTGGAATAACAGAGATTTGGTGGGAGCTTGCATGACTGGAGCGCTGTTGTGGATGGGTACAAACTGTCCAGGAAGGACAAGACAGGGGAGAAGAGTTGTGCTTTATGTAGAAGAGCTGTAGGATTGCTCAGAGCTCCAGTATGAAACTGGGGACAGGCCTGTTGAAAGTCTCTGGGTTAAGGTTAGAGGAGAGAGCACCAAGGGTGATGTTGTGGTGGGCATCTGCTATAGACCACCAGACCAGGAGGATGAGGCTTTCTTCAAACAGGTAGTGCAAGTTTCCTGATCACAGGTCCTGGTTCTCATGGGAGACTTCAGTCACTCTGACAACTGCTGGGAGGGCAATACAGCAGTGTGCAGGCAATTCAGGACATTTTTGGAGAGTGCTGGGGACAAGTTCCTGGTGCAAGTGCTGGAGTGGCCAACTAAGGGCTGTGCTCTTCTTGACCTGCTGCTCACAAACGGGGAAGAATTGGTGGGGGATGTAGAAGCTGATAGCAACTAGGGAAGCACTGACCATATGATGATTGAGTCCAGGATCCTGAGGAAAGGAAGGAAGGAGAACAGCAGAGTAAGGACCCTGGGCTTCAGAAAAGCAGACTTCAACTCACTCAGGGAACTGATGGGCAGGATCCCCTGGGAAGCCTGTCAGAGGGGAAAAGAAGTTCAGGAGATGACTGTTCTTTAAAGAAACCTTACTAAGGGTGCAGGAACAAACTATCCTGATGCGCAGGAAGATGAGAAAGTATGGCAGAAGACCAGCTTGGCTTAGCAGGGAACTCTTCAGTGAGCTAAAACACAAAAAAGGAACCTTACAAGAAGTGGAAACTTGGACAAATAACTAGGGAGGAGTATAAGAGCATTGCTCGGGCATGCAGGGATGAAATCAGGAAGGCTAAAGCACAACTGGAGTTGCAGGTAGCAAGGGAAGAGAGGGGTTTCTACAAATATATCAGCAACAAGAGGAAGATCAGGGAAAGTGTAGGTTCTTTACTAAATGGGGGGGGCAACCTAGTGACAGATGATGTAGAAAAGGCCTTTTTCAATGCCTTTTTCACCTCAATCTTCACAGGCAAGGTGAGCTCCCAGACTACTGCACCTGGCAGCTTCAGGAGAGGGTGAGCAACAGGGACAAAAGAACAGGTTAGGGACTATGTAGAAATGCTGGATGTGTACAAGTCCATGAGTCTGGATGGGATGCACCTGAGGATGCTGAGGGAGTTGGCCGATGTGATTGCAGAACCACTGGCCATCATCTTTGAAAACTCATGGCAACTGGGGATTGGAAAGGGCAAATATAGTGCCCATATTTAAGACGGGGAAGAAGGAGGATCTAGGGAACTACAGACTGGTCAGCCTCACCTCAGTCCCTAGAAAAATCATGAAGCAGGTCCTCAAGGAATCCATTTCTAAGCACTTGGGGGAGAAGGAATTGGTCCCACTTTGAGCAGGGGGTTGGACTAGGTGTGACCTCCTGAGGTCCCTTCCAACCCTCATTTTCTACGATTCTCTGATTCCAAGAAGGTAATTCGGAACAGTCAGCATGGATTCATCAAGGACAAGTCATGCCTGGCCAACCTGATTGTCTTCTATGATGAGATGACTGGCTCTGTGGATGCAGGAAGAGCAGTGGACATGATATACCCTGACTTTAGCAAGGCCTTTGATACAGTCTCCCACAGGATTCTTGCAAGCAAGATAAGTAAGTATGGGTTGGTGAATGGTCTGTAAGGTGGATGGAAAACTGGCTGGATCATCAGGCTCAGAGTCAATGGCTCCATGCCTAGCTGGCAGCCAGTATTAAGTGGAGTGCCCCAGAGGTCAGTCCTGGGACCTGTTTTGTTCAGTATCTTCATCAATGACCTGGAAGATGGGATGGAGCGCACCCTCAGCAAGTTTGCAGATGACACCAAGATGGGAGGAGTAATAGATACACTGGAAGGTAGGGCTAGGATTCAGAAAGACCTCAGTGAATTGGAGAATTGAACCAAAATAAATCTCATGAGGTTCAATAAGGGCAAGTGCAAAGTCCTGCACTTAGGATGGAACAATCCCATGCACTGGTAGAGGTTGGAGACCAACTGGCTAAGCAGCAGCTCTGTAGAAAAGGTCCTGGCGGTGACAGTGGACAATATACTGAATATGAGCCAACAGTGCCCTTGTTGCCAAGAAGAATAATAACAGCACACTGGGCTGCATTAGTTGGAGCATTGCCAGCAGAACGAGGAAAGTGATTCTTCCCCTCCTTTTGGTGCTGGTGAGGTCACATCTGCAATACTGTGTCCAGTTTTGGGCCCCTCACAGAAAGGATGTGGAAAAATTGGAGAGAATCCAGCGGAGGGCAACAAAAATGGTTAAGGGCTAGGGCACACGACTTCTGAGGACAGGCTGAAGCAACTGGGGTTTTTAGTCTGGAGAAGAGAAGACTGAGAGGGGATTTAATAGCAGCCTTCAACTACCTGACGAGTGGTTGCAAAGAGGGTGGAGCTGGGCTGTCTCAGCGGTGGCAGATGACAGGACAAAGAGCAATGGTCTCAAGTTTCAGCAAAGGAAGTTTAGTTTAGATATTAGGAAGAATTTTCTCTCTAGGAGGGTAGTAAAACACTGGAGCAGGTTACCCAGAGAGGTGATGGACTTGGAGGTTTTCGAGACCCGGCTAGACAAAGACTTAGCTGGAATGATCTAGTTGGGTGTGGACCTGCTTTGAGCAGGGGGTTAAACTAGATGACCTCCTGAGGTCCCTTCCAACGCTAATTTTCTATGATGCCAAAGCCCATCACTCAGTCAGTAGAGCAGCAAGGCTATAAAAAGCCTAACAACCCAGGATCCCAAAATGAGGTGAGCCTGTAAGAACTGATGTAGTACAAGTCTGTTTGTGACTAACATGAAAAGGAACCTGCTTGGACACATTAGCTTTCATGGCTGCTCTAGACATAGCTAAAAAGGATTCCCAGCAGATGTTTGACCATGAAATGGGGTGACTGGCTGCAGATGGATTGTCTCAACGTGAACAACTCAGCCTGCCTCTGATTGAGGTACATGCAAGAGAAAACAGAGCAAAAGCAAAGATCAGATACATGGGCTTCAGTGATGCAAAAGCCTTGATGGACATTTACAGGGCAAAGATCAATATGGTGGCTAGTAGAATAACCCCTGGTTCAAAAAAATATCATCAAGGAAACTAGCTTGGTGACACTTAGCTAGCCCTACACACAGTTAAATGGTCAGCGGGATAACTTGGGCTTATTCTTCTGGCATCTGCATTGAGAATTATTTTCATTTTAAAATCACAATCATTCCAAGACATTTCCTATCTTACAGTGATCAGAAATCAGTGTGTAGGGTGGGCAGGAGCAGGGAGAATTTTTTTAATGTCCCAACTATTTTTATGCTGTTACTACCTAGAATCCAGGTAAGAGCAAGCCCCACATTGGATTAGACAGTCTCCAGAACCCATGCTCAAAAGAGGTTGCAATTCAAGCAGATAAACTAGCCAAAGAGTGGGGGAAAGCAATGAGGATGATTACCCCCACTTATACATTCACAAAAAGAGCAGGTGCCTTGCACTAAGCCACGCAGGTTTTTGCCACAGCTGACAACTGATCCTCATCTCTTGAGTCCCATTCTCAAGTCCACCCTCCCTCTAGACCAGTAAGTCTCAAACAAGGTACCACAGCACCTGGGGTGCTGTGAGATTGCTTGAGGAGTGCTGCAGGACCCAGTTTGTGCGTGAGGAGTAAAGCACTCTCCTCCCCTGCCAGTCCAGCTCCACACACCCACTGCAACATCTAGCAACCATCAGCATCCCCACTGCTACTCTGGAGACTGCTGCTGCTGCCCTCCCCCACCCTTTGATGCACCTGCATGTCCCCCCACCCACCCCGCAGCAGTTTTTTCTGGTGTGGGTGGGTGGACATGTGGATGGAACAACTCTTTTCAGCTTCTCCCACGCTCCCAGGACCAGTAGGAGGGACCCTGGGGGCAGATGGCTCCCGTCACATGCTTGCACGACCCCAAGGGAGCAGCCTCAGTTGCAGGAACCACCCTTTCCCCCCTCTGGCATGGGCCCAGGGTGGAGGCAAGGGGAAGGTGGTGGACAGAGCTGAGCACAGCAGGGTGAGGGACAGTCCCTGCCACCCTCCCCAGCACTAGGTAGAAAAGCGGTTTTCAATCGTCTTAGCCTCAAGGCAGTTATCCATAACTTTTTTGAATGTAGAGTCTACCCTTGATAAGCCTCAACCAGCACCCCAGAGTGCTGCTACATTCAGAAAAGTTATGGTGGGTGCCTTGAGGCTAGCAAGGTTGAGAACCACTCCTCTAGTCAAGCCGTGGCAAAGCTCACTCTGTACTTTCCCTCATCCATGGGCTGAAATTGTTCTGTCCAGGGGTGGTGGGGAACATCTCATAAGACAAGAGTGTAGCAGAAATGCCACTGTCGGTGCCCCTCTCCAGAGATCTGTCTCAGCCAGCCTGAGAG